TAGAGCCAGGAGTAACCCCTGTGCATCGCCGGGTGTGACCCAAAAAGCAAAACAAACAAACAAAAAAACAAAAAGTGCCAAATTCAAGGCTCTTTCAGGGTTAGGAGAATGAGACCCATCATTGTGACTGGTATTTGGCATATTGGGTATGCCACGGGGAGTTTGCCAGACTTTGCCGTGTGGGCAGGTTACATTCGGTAGCCTGCCAGGTTGTCCAAAGTAAGAATGAGATAATGAGATGTTTTTAATAAAGGAATAAAATTCACAAAGATTTTTTTCTTTTTTGCCAATAGTTTCCAGGACCAAGCCTCAGAACCATCTTGTCTTTCCCATTATTCCCAAGGATCAGCATTAGATCAGTATCCAAACAAAGACCTGGAGGAGATGTCAGAGCCGAGAAAGGACAAACCTCTAGCCCTGACCTGGGAAGTCTCTGTATTGGACCTGGAAATGTCCTGATGGCAGGTACCCTCGGGCACCAGGTCACAGCCCCACCAGGAGGGAAACACTGCCAGATGCTCCTTCCTTCCTACTGCAGGGATGCATGGCAGGCTGGAATTCAGGCTGTCTCTCAGGACAGCAGCTCTGGGCTCTGTCTACAGGGGAGGAAACTGTAGCCCTGAGACCCGGGACTCCTCCCTGGGCCCCAGGAAGGTCCTTACCGGGCCCAGCCAGGGGCTGATTCCTATACCAGGAGCTCCTTTGATTAAGCACCCCCTTGAGCTTCAAGGCTGCCCAGAGTGACCACAGCCCCCAAAGTGGGGGCAGCCACTCAGTGGGGACAAACCTTTAGCCTCGTTCTGCTCACACAATTATCGTGTGTGTGTGTGTGTTTCGATTTGGGGGCCACAACAGGCAGTGCTCAGGGATTATTCCAAGCTTGGAACTGAGGGATCACCCCCAGTGTGGCCTGGGGGATCGTTGGAATTCCAGGAATTGAACCTGGATTGGCCTTGTGCAAGGTAAGTGCCCTCCCCGCAATACTACCACTCCAGCTCTTTCTAAATAAATTTCTTTCCAACACATCAGGATTGATTCCTTAACAAATATCTCATCCCCCCCCCCAAAAAAAAGAACCAACTATCTTGCTTTAAAAAGAACCCCTTAACACGCAATATTCACCCCTCCATCTGGGGTTCTCCTAGTCAGGGTCAGGGAGTTGATGAAGAATGAAGGGATGCTTTTCAACTTGACTTGAGGGAGCAGAAATACTCAGGAAAAAAGATACCAAAGTGGGGCCGGTTAGATAGTTAAGCGTATACAGTGCTTGGGGCTGGAGTGATAGCACAGCGAGTAGGGAGTTTGTCTTGCACGAGGCCAGCCTGGGTTTGATTCCCAGCATCCCATATGGTCCCGAGCACCGCCAGGGGTAATTCCTGAGTGCAGAGCCAGGAATAACCCCTGGGTACCATCAGGTGTGACCCAAAAAGCAAAAAAAAAAAAAAAAAAAAAAAAAAAGAGTACACAGTGCTTGGGGCTGGAGCAATAGCACAGTGGGTAGGGTGTTTGCCTTACACGTGGCCAACCCGGGTTTGATTCCCAGCATCCCATATGATCCCCGAGCACTGCAAGGAGTAATTCCTGAGTGCAGAACCAGCAGTAAACCTTGAACACTGCTGGGTGTGACCCAAAAAGCAAAAACAACAAAAAAAAACAAACAAAAAACTACCCCCCCCCCAAAAAAAAAGAGCATATGGTGCTTCCCTTACTGATAAAGATTAATCCGAGGCATCCCCTATGAAACCACGATCACTGATGGAAATTATTTCTGAGGATACAGCTAGAGCCTGGAGCAACCTCTAAGCACCTATGCCACCCACCCCTCAAAAAAAAAAATCCAAAATAGTCAGGAAAGTAAATATTCATTTACAAACCCTAGCCACATGCCAGGACCACGTTCCCAGGATGACCTGCCTCCTTGCAGCAGCCAATGAAAAGGACAGGTGTCGACAGGGTCTCTTGCCTTTGGGGGACTGAGTAGCTACCCCTCAAAGTGACCTGGCGGTTCTACATACACGTCTACACCAAAAGCTGCAGGACTGAGCCAGCGCAGCCCCATGTTGGGTGGGTGGGGATGTTGAAGACCCCTTCCCCTGGCACGTCTCACATCCCCAGGGCCCACAGCCCGCACTGTCGTGCTCAGCTCTGTGCCCAGGCGACACTGACCCATTGTAGAGTTGGAGGCAAAGCTGCCCCCAAGGATCATGCACTCAGACCCTCGATCCCTGTGCCCGCTCAATCCCCTCACTACATATACCAAAGCTCCAACATCCTCCTAAATCCTCTGGAGCAAGTCAGATCCCGGGAACCGCCTGGACGCTGGGGGTGAGAGAGAGAACCACGAGAGCACCCCACAAGAAGGCATGGCCCTGTCGGTCACAGTACCGAGACTGGAAACAACAGGTGCTCCTGCCACAAGTTGGACTTCAGTGTCCCCCTTCCAAGGTGTGGTATCACTCTATCCTTCACACACGTGCCCAAAGGTGGCTTAATCCACTTGACATCATCAGGAAGGAAAAGTGACCTTGAAGACTCCCGTCTGTGACATCATCCCATTCACCAAGGAGCCTTAAAGTGCCAGGTCACATGGTTCAGGGCAGTGAGGTATGGAGAAGTCCCCTGATCCTATACTGGTCAAGCATTGAGTCAATGCTCTCTCTCTCTCTCTCTCTCTCTCTCTCTCACACACACACACACACACACACACACATCAGGAAAAACAAAAGCAGGTTGATTCAAGGTAAAACAGGCAAGTAGGTTGTGAATGAGTCATGGGATAATGGGTTTCTCCGAGAAGTCATCAATCAAGATGAGGATGAAAGCAGTGACTCTGAAGCCAGCCCTGAAGATGCAGAGAGGAAATGGCCTAGCAGCCCCCCAGAGAGCTGGAGAGACACTGGATAGGACCAAAGGCTGATAAGAACATCAGAGAGCACCGAACAGTGAACGCTGTACCCCTTGAAAACATGTGAGCAGAGAACTCTCATCTACAAGGAAACCCCAGGACGCAGTTTTAGAAACACGTTTTCTAAACTACTGTGGCTTAATGCTTGTTCTGAACATGGTTTCCCTGAGTTCCATTTCTGGCATCCAGAACAACACCAAGATAAACTCCTAAGAGCTGCCAACTATGGTATGAATTATTTAAAACATACTTCAATAAATAAATCCCATGGATGGACCAACCCTAACAATGGAGGTGCATAGGAGCTAACGAAGCACCAAACTATACCGGATCATTTTATAGACTCGGTCATTTGGACAGATTAAAAATGGTTTTAGTCGTTGTGGTGTCTAGGAGAGTTGAAATTTTACCGCTTCAAAATGCAAAAGTTTTGGGGCTGGAGAGATAGCACAGCGGGTAGGGCGTTTGCCTTGCACGCGGCCGACCCGGGTTTTATTCCCAGCATCCCATATCGTCCCCTGAGCACTGTCAGGAGTAACTCCTGAGTGCAGAGCCAGGAGTAACTCCTGTGCATTGCCAAGTGTGACCCAAAAGAAAAAAAAAATGCAAAAGTTTTGTCTTCTTTATTCCTGATATAACTGAAATGAGGAGGGTGGAATTCAGGAATGTGTCCACCCTTTATAATTAGCCATTACTGCTGATGTTATTGCTTGCTGAGATGAGAGTTTGGGGGCTCTCCTACGTTCCCACCATTTGTAAAACATTTTGTTAAAGGGGCCCTTTCCATCCTTTAATAGAACCATCAGAAATCTTTCTATGCAAAGTCAAGCTGATTTCAATTCTCTCCAATCCACCCTAGTAAAGAACAATGGCAGGGCCATTTTTTTTTAATTCTTTTCAGAAATATTTATCTTCAATGCTTAGGTAGCACTGTCCTCCCATTGGTCATCGATTTGCTTGAGCGGGCACCAGTAACGTCTCCATTGTGAGACTTGTTGTTACTGTTTTTGGCATATCGAATACATCACGGGGAACTTGCCAGGCTCTGCCATGTGGGCAGGATACTCTCGGTAGCTTGCCAGGCTCTCCAAGAGGGACGGAAGAATCAAACCCGGGTCAGCTGCGTGCAAGGAAAACGCCCTACCCGCTGTGCTATATCACTCCAGCCCCAATGCTTAGGTCAATCTAATAAGCATCTGAATACAAGAGTGCAGAGCTGAGACAGTGGATAGAGACACTGGATAGGACCAGTGCAGTCAATGCAAACCACTTGACTGCACAATGCTGATCTGGATTCCAAGCCCCAGTCCCCATAAGGATACCTGTGTCCTCCCTCGAAGGTATTCATGAGCTCAGAGACAAGAGTACTGCCTGAGCAAAGCAGGTGTGGCTCAAAACATAACAGAGGAAGGCCTGAAGAATGGAGGTTGGCTTGTTTTTCCAATTCCAAAGGATTCACTGCAACATCCTGGTTGATCTCTACAATAAACCCCGCAAACCAGGGCCTCTGAGTCAAGCCAGAGTCTGAGCAAAAAATGACACAGTGACATTCCGATTAAGGGGTGGTTTTTGTACCCATTTACTTCGTTCTTTTTTTTTTTTTTTGCTTTTTGGGTCACACCCGGCAATGCACAGGGGTTACTCCTGGCTTTGTGCTCAGGAGTTACTCCTGGCGGTGCTCAGGGGACCATATGGGATGCTGGGAATCGAACCTGGGTTGGCCGCGTGCAAGGCAAATGCCCCACCCGCTGTGCCACCGCTCCAGCCCCATTTTACTTAGTTCTTATTTAATTAATTTCCACCTGGATTCCATCACCAAGACCCATTATTTACAAGTTAACATACACATGAAGTCCAAATGCTGGAACACTGACGTAGGTAAAGGTAATGATTACCATGCCAAGACATATGTAATCATCAGCAACTACCTTTCCGTTACAGTACAGGTCACTGGAAACTAATGAGATTGCAGCGGGGGTATTTCTTTCTCAACTGCACCTTTGCAACCCCTGATCAACCTTGTCCAAGCAAAACTTTTATTTTTCTGAAGGGGGTTTGTTCTGACCTTAGGGATTATTATTATTAGGGGATGGAGTCAACCAGTATGAATTTTACTATGTTTCCTAAGACTGGAGAGAAATATGAACGCCTTCCCAAATTCTTTACATACTTAAAAGTTCTCGCCACTGTGTATTTTCTTTTTTTTTTTCTTTTTGGGTCACACTCAGCAATACACAGGGGTTACTCCTGGTTCATGCATTCAGGAATTACTCCTGGCCATGCTCAGGGGACCATATGGGATGCTGGGAATCGAACCCAGGTCGGGCTGCGTGCAAGGCAAACGCCCTCCCCGCTGTACTATCACTCCAGTCCCGCCACTGTGTATTTTCATATGACTACTAAGGCCTGGTGCCCTCTCTGAGGCTCGAACTCAGGACCTTCAGATTATGAGACTGAATTGGAGTCGAGCTTCTTCCACCCAGATCCTCCAAATTCCAGTAGGCGGGGGTCACACCCCCCACCTGGCCCCCTGGCGCCGTGTAATCCCATCAGCGGCCAAGACTCAGAGACTATAAAATCCAGATCCCGGAACCGCGCGGCCGCATTCGCCGCCGCGCGACATCTTAACAGAACTTTTTTTTTTTTTTATGACATCTTATTGTCTTATTCCTACTTTGGACAAACTTGCAGGCTATCGAATGTAGCCTGCCCACAGGGCAGAGTCTGGCAAACTCCCCGTGGCATACCAAATATGCCAAATACCAGTAACAATGATGGGTCTCATTCTCCTAAATAGCCTTGAATATAATCTCAGGGCTAGGATGAAAGAGACGTTACTGGGGCCTGCTCGAGGCAATCGACGAATAACAGGATGATGAAATGAAATGAAATGAACTAAGGCCTGAGTTCCTGGTGAAGGCCTTCCCACATTCCTTACAAACGTAAGGCTTCTCTCCAGTATGAGTATTCATATGCCCATTAAGAGTTGCCAAAACAGTGAAAACCTTTCCACATGCCTTACATTTATAAGGTTTCTCTCCAGTGTGAATTTTCCTACGTACAGTAAGCACAGAGGGTGTGCTAAAGGCCTTCCCACACTCCTGATATACGCAAGGCTTCTCTCCAATATTAGTCTTCATATGATTATTAAGGCCTGATGATTGAGTGAAGGCCTTTCCACATGCCTTACATTTATAAGGTTTCTCTCCAGTGTGAATTTTCCTATGTACAGTAAGCACAGAGGGTGTGCTAAAGGCCTTCCCACACTCCTGATATACGCAAGGCTTCTCTCCAATATTAGTCTTCATATGATTATTAAGGCCTGATGATTGAGTGAAGGCCTTTCCACATACCTTACATTTATAAGGCTTCTCTCCAGTGTGAATTCTCCTGTGTACACTAAGTTCCGAGGATGTGCCAAAGGCCTTTCCATACTCCTGACATACAAAAGGCTTCTCTCCTGAATGAATTCTTCTATGTACAGTGAGCACCGAGGATATGCGAAAGGCCTTCCCACACTCCTGGCACACATAAGGCTTCTCTCCAGTATGAATGTTCCTGTGATACAAAAGTCTTGAAGGATAATCAAAGGCCTTTCCACATTCCTTGCAGATGTAAGGTTTCTCTCCAGTGTGGTTTTCCTTGTGCTTACAAAAGCTTGAGCAATGAGCAAAGGCTTTTCCATAGTCCTGACGTGAATACGGTTTCTCTCCAAAATGACTCATCCTGTGATGAGAAAGGTTTGAGTCACAAGAGGAGACCTTCGCGCAGTCCTGACACGAGTAAGTTTTCATTCCTGTATGAATTTCCCTGTGGACACTAAGCTGTGAGGACAGAGGAAAGGCTTGTCCACATTCCTGATATGCATGAGGTTTCTCTGCAGTATGAACTCTCCTATGTATAATATGTTTTGAGAGGGAAGTTAAAGCCTTCCCACAGTGTATCCACATAAATGGTTTCTCTCCGGTTTGGATCTTTGAACTGTCACCCTCAGATGACACCTGATTCAAAGTTTCTTCTTCCTCTTGACAATCCTGGGGATTCTGTCCACTGTGGGCTTCTAAGGGAACATCTCGGTGCCGAGAACACGGGAAGGCTCCAGCACATTCTTTAGTCTTGGACGGGGTCAGCCCATGGTGACTTTGCTTGTGGGCCTGTCGGCGTGAGGGACTCACCATCAATGGTTCTCCTCTCCCACAGTCCTGGGGCTGCCCACTTTGGGGAGTTTGTGTCCAAAAACTGAGGACAACAGACTGTGAGTTTTTCCCACCAGAGAGCATCTTCAGCATGAGGTGGTTCTCTCCATTCTGACCAACCACAGAAGACATCCTGCCTGTCTTCGCATTCCCATGGGGCTGAGGGCAGGACTGCTCACTTGAGACATTGTCACAGAGTGTAGGATCAGAGACATTCCAATGGAACTGGCTGCTTCCCTATAGAACGTAGAGGAGGATTCCAATTACTGTTCCATTCTTTAAGAGTCTCCCTGTCAAAAGGAACCGTGGCCTGCAGGTTCGTTTCTAACATTTCCACCATAAGGAATGCAATTCCTGGCACGTGGATGGCTTTTCCATGGAATGACCCAAAATTTCTACATGGAGGATGCATTAGAATTGAAGGATGCGCAGTCATTGATTTGTTTAAATTTTTTTTTCAACTGAATGAACAGATAAATAAAACGGACATAAGGCCATCTGTAGAACACTGAAATAGTTTCAAGTAAAATAAAATATACCCAAGTCTGGGTCTGGTTATAGCTCAATATGGAGCCCATGATGCATGTATTAAGGCCAGGCTGGAACCCTACCAAGCCAAGATGGACCAAGGGATTCACTGAAAACATCTCACCACAAGCAAATCCTCTCTAGGATTAATGAGGTTTATTTATTTTTTGTTCTTTTTTGTTTTGTAGTTTGTTGGATAACACTGGATTGTCTTTGCTGTTCCTGAAGAGAGCTTAAGGGCTATTGAGCCACTCTTACAACAGAGCTACTGAGGCACAACTAATAGTCCTATATTGCTTTTCTCTTTCCTTTATGTCATTTGTAGGGTTCATTTAGCAATGTCCTTTTTGTATAGACACAGGAAGACAATCGATGCTATGCTATGTAACATGAGAGTCAATTGAGTCCAAAATAATATTCACTCCTGGGCATCTGTATTTACTTGACCTAAACCTCAGTTGCCCTAAGTTCCTAGCACTCCAAGCACAGGGTCCAGATGAGGGACTGATGAACCTAGGGCAAGCTGTGAGCTATCCTGGCATCGAAATAGGTCAGGCCAACCACCATAATACTTACCATAAGTTTAGAGCATGGTCATGGACAAACTCTGTCATGACCCAAAAGAGGTAACTGAGTAAGGACCCTGCTGGGGTTAGGAAGACTAATGTGGCCTGAGGGCTGTGGTCTGGAATATATACTAAGATGTCCCCAGGAAGAACCAAACTTTAAGCTTGATATATCTCTTCCTGTGCTCATACAAAATGACATTGCTAGAAATTTTAGAAGTAAATGTACTACCACTATTTAAGTGGATTAGTAGCTGAGGAAAGAAGAAAGAAACACACTCTGGATGGAATCCTGCCCTTGACTGGATCTCCTAGTAATCTGGAGTGATCTCCTTAGATGAGATTTCTGGAGGAGTGGCCTTTGTCGATTTGTTAATGTTCAACCCCACCTTTGTATCCACACCCTACATGATTTCTTTATGAACTATGCTCTAAGGGGCTGGGGAGGTCAGGTCAGATGGTTAGGTCGCCATGGATAGAGAGTTGGGAGAAGTCAGAATACTATGAGGTTAAGAGGTTGCCGAGGTCACCATGGTCACAGGGTTAGAAGAAGTCAGAAGAAGAGATCAGAGACTGAAGAAGACAATGGCAGCAGACTAGAGGGCAGGAAGACAGAGAGAGGGAGACAGAACATAACAGCACAGACAGAAGACAGAGGACTTAAGAGAAGAGCACAGGGGCTGGAGTGATAGCACAGCGGGTAGGGCATTTGCTTTGCACGCGGCCGACCTGGGTTCGATTCCCAGCATCCCATATGGGTTCCTGAGCACCGCCAGGAGTAATTCCTGAGTCCCTGAGCCAGGAGTAACTCCTGTGCAATGCCATGTATGACCCGAAAAGCAAAAAGAAAAAAAAGAGAGCACAATGCTAAGGTTAGAAGTAAAAGACAGAAGTTAGAAAAGGACAGACTTTCGAGACTGGAGAGGATAGACTGAGACCTTGGAGAGGAGAGACTGAGACCAGAAACGAAGACCAGAGGAGAGATGACTGAGACGAGAGTCAGCGACTAGAAAGACAGACAGAAAAGAGCATAATGGCACACACAGAAGCAGAGCACAAAGGAAGAAGATAAAAAAAAGAGAGCACAGAGGGGCTGGAGAGATAGCACAGCGGGGAGGGCGTTTGCCTTGCATGCGGCTGACCCGGGTTCGATTCCCAGCATCCCATAGGGTCCCCTGAGCACTGCCAGGAGTAACTCGTGAGTGTAGAGCCAGGAGTAACCCCTGTGCATCGCCAGGTGTGACCCAAAAAGCAAAAAATAAAAATAAAAAAATAAAAATAAATAAAAAAAGAGCACAGAAATGAAGAGAAGATAACAAGAAGACAAGGAGGAAAACTGAGACTTTGGAGACCTTGAGGTCTGCGAGAGACAAGGATGATGGAACTCTGATGACAGAGACTACAGCCACAACGACAGCTATGACTGTGCCGTAAAGGGAGAGATGGAACGATGCCTGAGAGTCTACCCATCACCCAGCCTTCTGGTTCCTGGGGAGGCCACCCTTGGTCCAACGAACACCACCTCCACGTCCTGCCTGAGCCTGGCCTGTGCACAGGCCTGCTTCGCAACAGCCCACAGCTTCTTAATTCTCATGTATTGTATTGCGTGTTGAGTTGAGTTGTGAGAAAACGCAACAGTAGTTTGCATATCTTTTGAGGTGGGCCACACCATGCAGTGCTAGGGATCACTGATGCCGAGTCCCATGGGATCAACTGGGGTGCTGGAGTTGAAGCCCAGGTTTCCATCCTTGTAGAAAGCAAGTTCGTTTCCAAAGTACTATCACTCGTGGCAACAAAAAATTTCTTTAAAACAATTAACTCCTGTGCTTACTTTCAATCCAATGAAAAAATCACTTTTTCTTCGAAATTAAGGATAGTA